CCCCTGCAGCCCCTCGATTGACCCCCCCTCTGGATGGCAGCCTGCGGCAAGTGCAGCCGGGCTGATGGCTGAGTCCTGTGATGTGCCGAGTGTGGGCATTCAGGGCACTCCAAGCCAGGACTGCTTTGCTGTCCCTCATCGAGTTAGACAAGCGAGCGGGGAGCCCCTGAGAACTGTCTGTCCAGGGTGGGGGTCGGGGCCCTTTAAGCACAGCCCTCGGCTAGCCTGAGACAGCAGCTCCACGCTCTAAGTCCTAATCTGATGCCCTGCCGGCGCTGCTTCCGGCCATCCTTAACCTCGGTTCAGGGTCCACTCAATGTGGACATGCTAGTTCGAATTAGCAAAATGCTAATTCGAACTAGTTTTTAGGTCTAGATGCGCTAATTCGAATTAGCTTAGTTCGAATTAACTAATTCGAATTAAGTTAGTTTGAATTAGTGCTGTAGTGTAGACATACCCCTAATTCCTTGGGCTTTTGACTTGGCCCAGGACCATGACATGAGACTTTTCTTTCCTGCCCTTGCTCTATTGCAGTAAGTTATTAATTCATCACATTAATGAACAGATCAATGAATGCCATCAATTTGAACCAATATAAAAACACGAGCAAGAGTATCTAGAACAAAGACATTTAAAACCTAGACATGATGCCATTGTGAAGGTGAACCTGGGAGTTCTTACCTGCAACTATTTCATGCCCACATGCCTCCATTCACTTTGCTGGGCTAAAATGGCAAAATCTAGTTCCCTTTTCCCAGTCCTACAGAGTGTTACATCTTTTTCCAATGGTTTAACAAGAGCTGTGTAGGAGCAGGTGTTCTGCAAATATCCACGTTGATGACATGAAATTGCATAGCATGATAATGGAAAGGGATCTGGGAGTCATAGTGGTTCAAAAGCTAAATTTGAGTCAAAGTGTGACACTTAAAAAAAAAGAAGCAAACATCTTTCGGGGCTGTATTAGCAGGAGTGCTGTAAGCAAGACACGAGAAGTCCTTCTTCCGCTCTACTCGCTGACTGGGCCTCAGCTCATGGGCGGTGGTGAAGGCCCAGCTGGGAAAGGGAAGCCATAGCCCCGCCCCTTCTGCCTGAAGCCACATCCCCTCCCCAAGACCATGCCTCTTTAACAACCTCCCTGTCCACCAAGCCCCGCCCAACCCTAGACAAGAGCCAGTGCTGCTGTCCTCCCTGGCTGACAGGGACCCAGGCTTCCGCAATGTGGCCCCAGCCCCTCCTGGGCAGCTGGGCAATGTAGGCCGTTTTGGGAAGGCAATGCCTTCCCTTGCCTATGTTACTTGCCATCCATGACTCAGCTGGAGTATTGAGTCCAGTTCTGGGCACCACATTTCAGGAAAAATGTGGAGAAATTGGAGAAAGTCCAGAGAAGAGCGACAAAAAGTATTAAAGGTCTAGAAAACATGGCCTATGACGGAAGACTGAAAAAACTGGGTTTGTTTAAGTCTGAAAAAGAGAAGACTGAGAGGGAATATAATAATTTTCTAGTATCCAAGAGGTTATTACAAGGAGGAAGATGAAACATTGTTTTTCTTAACCTCTGAACATAGGAGAAGACTCAATGGGCTTAAATTGCAACAAAGGCTGATTAGGTTGGACATAAGCAAAAACTTCCTGTCAGGGCAGTTAATTGCCAAGGGAGGTTGTAAAATCTTCATCATTAGAGATTTTAAAAAGCAGGTTAGACACATACCTGCCAGGGATGGTCCCAGACGGATACTCTGCACAATCCAGCCCGGGACTTCTTGTGAGTGGGGGGGGGAGACTTGTATATTACCGGCCGCTTAGCCCTGCCCCTTTCTGCTCCCACCCCCCATTGGCACCCCATTCTCTGAGCACGTGGCTTTGGGGATTATCAGGAGGGACTGGGATGCACAACTACTGCCACTGTGCAGCGCCAACACCCCCCCCCCCCCCAAAGCCGCATGGGCAGGAA